CCCCAAAACCCCAAAACCCCAAAACCCCAAAACCCCATAAAGGAAATCTGGAGTTATAACTAATAAAAATGTCAGAAAATTCTTTCTCATCAAATCGCTTGAAGTTCAAGAAGAAATTCAAGAGCGAGGTAGTCAAGGATGAGGCTAGCTATCTTTTCAACATGCCTACCCTCGGTTCGGACAAAAAGCTCGCTGTTGATACGAATAGGTAAGATTTGTTCCTTTATAAATATTTTAATGTTTTGTATCCTAATAATAACTCTATAGGTTTGTTCCTAAATGTACATCACTAGGAATGTCACCATTGAAAATTTCATGCAGCAAGAAGCCAGGAAAACTGAATGCCTTCACTGTTTTGAAGAAGATTGCAAGCACTAATGGGGTATCTACCAACTCTTCAAAGTCGATTATGTCTTACATTATTGCACCTGAGGTGGAGAGTAGACATCCGAAAGAGAACAGGATAAATGAATTTTTGGCTACCTCCAAGATCTTCAAAATTAACCTGCGAGAGGCTTTGGACGAACTCAAATAAAACAAAGGATGTCAGGAAGTGCTGTTTTGAAACTTTTCTTAAATATAAATTATTAGTAATAATACTTCAGATATCTTATTGGACTTAATCTTTTGAGGGTTGATTCTATCGAACGTGGGCTTATTTAGAATACTCATAAGCATGCTTTCAGCTTCATTATGTCAGTAATTAAGCCTAGATTTACAAGTTAAATATTAGGAGATAATTATCATATAGAATTTCTTCTTATCTCTTCAGGTGAAAATAGGGTCTATTCAAAATTTTCCAAATTGTGTAAAGCTTTATTAAGCATGTAGAGCACCTCCAATTTTTTATTTGATCGAGACTTCTATTATGGCTTATTTAACTGCGCTAGACTCGTTGCCAAGTCTCGTGCAGCTTCTCTGTTTGCTATTAGAAAGGATTCCTCAACGTCCTTTCATATTTAGGGATATAAGAAGTCTAGACTTATCTTTGTTGCGGATAAGCCAAGTGCACTCAAAGCCCAATTGTAGTAACTAACTATATCCAGATTTTGAGCTGTGAAGCCAACTAGGCAATAAAGATACGAGATTCAGCAGCCACCTAAAATTTTCTGAATAATAGTTTTAAATACCTCTAGTTTATCTGATCCTTGGAGACTATTTAGACCTAATCTTTAAACCTTTGACTGAGGAGGTTCAGCTCATCTTTTTATGAGAAAATGATTTTGTCTCAAAAATTTATTTCTCCCTTCTTCTAGCTCGTATTTTCAATTTTAGTATGAGTTAAAGTTTAGGAAACTTAGCTAAATGATCTTGGTTAATAAGTTGAGGCTTGCAATGTGAAATAACAAGAGGTATAGTTTTATAGAGGATAGCCCTTATCAAAATGAAATGTTATCAAATTAGGTATAAAATTGTCTCTAGTCTTCAGCAAGTTGTTGCTCCATTAGTTTTTATTTTACCATCCTATCTTATCTAATACTATTTCTACAATTTTTAAAACAGATCTGGGACGTTTGGAACTAATTTATTTATCCATTACTTTTAGAACATTTTAAAATTTTGACACTTAAATTAGGTTCTTTAATATTACTAATCTCGTCATTACCCTGTACATAAACCGCATGTCATTACTTTTATCCCTATAATTTTACCAGATGAATTCTCAAAATTCGTGCAACCGACCCAAGGTATTACCTTCAACATCACTTCTTAAACCCCTAATCTTGAAACTTCTTGGAAAATGGTTAATAGTGTTGTTCATGAACTTAACAATATTAAACTCCAAGCCTATAAAGCAGTTTATTTCAATACTGTAAAATTATATAGGGGTTTTGGGGTTTTGGGGTTTTGGGGG